GCGGGGCGGGCGGGGGGGGCGAGACTGAGACAGGAGACCAGGAGATGGGACCTTCTCTCTAAACAGCATGGCCGAGGGGCCCTTAACTTGGAAGCAGGTTAGAATTCCTGCAGCATGTCTGTGTGTTTGCATTTCATCTTTTTTTTTTAATCATTAATTAGCTTTAAACTAGTCAGACAATTGGGGAATTCTACTGAAGCCCCAAAATAATAAACTTGGTTAAAAGGGAGGAGATCATATTCAAATAAACTTGTCTTGCATTTATTCACTTAAGGCAGCTGAAGAGGGCAGACAGAGGGCAAATACCAGCCTCCTGATGGAGAGAGATAACAAGACTTTATGACCCCAGAACTAAACAGTGCACATTTTAAAGGTCTCTTTTCTTTTCTTAAGAGATTTTTCCATTGACCCTCATTAAGCTCTCCATGGGTTTACACTTGGAGAAATTTTAGTAAATGAGAAAAAAAAAAAAAAAAACCTTATGTAGTTATTTCTGTAAGTCCTGTTAAATTTTTTTTCATGCCTTTATTTTTATATGGATTAAGAGCCTGATACCAACATAGAATCACAGACTTAGCTGCAGGGACTGTAAGACAAATATGTAGTGTCTTCAAAAAGCCCGTGGAAGATGAGTATTATAAGTAAAACATGCGTGGATTTCTTTTTTTGCACCAAAATAAACTTGTACTTTAATTTTATTTTCCACACATTTTTTGAAGCCCTTTCATGTAGAGTGTTCAGAGATATATGAAAACTTACAAATATCCTAAAAAATTCTATGTATTCCAAATTATAGAAGGAATATATTGGGTTGTCTGAAAAGTCAGGATGATGTATTTGTCTATGTTTTTCTATATAAAAATGCATCATGACTTTCTTTTTTTTGGAGAGGTTTTTGCTATAGGGTGCGTGCGCTTGCCAGACAGAGACAAACAGAGAGACAGAAAGCGAGAAATCACCCCCTAGGGGGGATGGCCACACTGCAGTCTCTTCTCCTCCATTCTCCTCTTGGGATCTTGGGCACACCCGCACACGCGCCCGGTGTGAGTTTAAGCCACCAGGTTCAGGACTCAAACTGCGGTCGACTACGTGGGAGTCCAGTGACATAGCCATTAAGCTAACTGCTGGTCCCTCATCATGACTTTCTTGACAATGCAATACATGCCAAAGATCCAGGGAAACTTTCTCAGCTCTCTTCCAGAAGGCTGCAAGTGGTTTCCACTGCAGACAGAAAGGGTCTGAGCTTGCTGGAGCATCCAGGCAAGCTGAGGGAACAGGGTGTGGTGGCGTTTGTACTCATCTCTTCATGTGTGTGTAGCTGACACTTTTGAGTGAAATGGAACTCGGCATTAAAGCCACGCAGTTGAAGGTGACGTCATGTGTAGTGAGCTTCCACAGAGGCGAGATCATTTCATAGAAAAGGAAGCCCAGCATCCACCTCTCCCAACTTCCCAGCCAGGTCCTGACTGTCTGCCCTGCAGGCAGCCCATTCGGAGTTTGGTTGCATTTGCCTCTGAGGAGATAGTTATTTCTGCTTTACTCATTTTCCTCTTTGAACCTCAGTGGTTAACACAAGGCTTGCAAATGTAAATTCTATTTTTTAAAAAAAGGAAAACAATGTCACTCCTTAGTCTCCCTAGTAAAGAACTCACAGCCCTTCACTAACATGTTTAGCATTTCAGTAAGGAAGAAGCAATCACGCTTTTCACTGAAGAAAAGGATTCTTCCCTTTACAGGAAATGGAATAAAGTGGGGCCCCAGTTTGGAAAATTGTTCTCCTGGGTGGGCCCATCTGAATTGCAGCCTACTGCTCGCTGACAAAGAATTGGGGTGTTCCCTGCCTGGTGGCCCCACATCCAGTCCCTATCACTTGTGTACATCGCAGTCAATGTGACTCTCTCCCCACAGGGTACGGCATCATGACCGATGGCTACACAACGTACATCAACGCCTCGACGTGTACAGTCAGCTTTCAACCCACCAACCCTCCGATTATATTTGACCTTCCGAATCCGCAGGGTTCTTGAAGCTCTTAACGCCCTATTGGAATGTGAGGGAAGGTCTATAAACTGCCATTTTTCTAATTATAAAGTTACATCCTCTTACTTGTTTATTTCCAAATCCTGTGAGTTCTTTTTGTAAATTGTTGAAACACAAACGATGTTCGAGGTTGTGCTTCTTCCTTATTATTATTATTTTTTTTTAATGGGACATCCATTTGAAATCAAAGGAGCATTGTGAATTTGTAAAATGACTTCTGTTTTCTTAAAGGCCACGCCATTGTAAATTGTTAGTGTTCGCCAAAGGACAGCCAAGCTTTAATTAAAAAAAAAAAAAAAAAAAAAAGAAAAAAAAAAGATAGAAGTCTTACTTTAATATGCTTTAAGCTGGAAGAAAAAGAAAAGAAACAGGTAGGCAATGTTTTAAAAACGACCCAGATTTGCACGACTGTTTAAGAGTATTGTTTGAACTATTTTCTTGTTGATGTTTTGTTGTTGTTGTCTTGTTATGCTTCTTTTTTTGCAGACGTGGCCCCGGTCTACAGTAGTCTTCTTAACAGACACGGGCCTCAAGCGGTCTCCACACACTCTCACTGTCAAGAAAGCGGTGTCAAGGGGAGAAAATGGCCCTTGGTTAAAGGCTGGCTTAGCTAGTGAGATCCTTATCATGGTTCTACAAGATCTCATTGTTTGTTCGTTTCTTTTAAATTATTTTAGCTTTAAAAATATGGAAATGGAATCTGTCAGGAGCAGGTATTTCATACAGTTAAAAAGGAATGAGCGTGCAGACTCCTTTACAGTCTGGGTTTATATATATAAGTATTTTTGTGTGTATTATGACTAAGTTAGGAGTTTAATGTTGCCAAGGACAGTGCAACCGCCAGGGATGCTGTATAGCAGCGCCTTGGAAATCCGAAGGAACGGACGCATTTCCTCAGAACTCAAGGTCTAAAAGAGCTTGAGTTAAATCTCGGTACAGTTACAGGTGTGTACAGACTTGAATGGATGCAATGGAAGCTAACTAAAATAAGGCTTAGTGGTCCTTTCTATTTAAATACCCCAATTGTCTTCTTCCTCCCCGACCCCCATTTTGCACTGTGTCGATGCAATCTTCGCTAGCACAAAATATTGTCGCTAATAGTCATTTCTGTTCTCCCATTGTAAAGGCTGTTGAGCTTTATTCTATTTTATGTTATCTTGTTAATGAAATTTAGAAAAGCAGCTGTTTCTTTAAATTTATTGTGATATTCTATATCTAGCGGCCTTTATATGCAAATAAAATTGCAAGATTTTTAAATTTGCACTGTTTGGCGGGTTGGCTGGTGGGAGGATGGTAGTTTCTTTATGGGAAAGGGGGAATTTATTCATTTGCAACATCAATAATCCCTTGCAGAAGATTTAGAATAAGTGTTTTTTTCCCCCTAATTTTCAATAAATTTTTATTACTCACCATTCCAGGGCCGGCAGGTGGATCGATCAGGCGCTCAGTATACCCTTTCCTTCCAGCATGCTGTCATCTGTCTTGCCTTAGAGTTCATCTTTGGCCATTGTCATTTCTACAGGAACAGAGTAACCGTGCAGTCAAGGCTGTAGATGCTATATTGGGTCTGCTTGGGGTAGTGGGTTGAGGAAAGAATTTTCCCCCAAGAGAAGTCACCATCTCCTACTCACTCACTTTTTTTCTTTTTTTTTTTATATATATATAGAGAAATATTTACTATAGGGCATGTGTAGTGGCCAGAGAGAGAGCCAGAAAGCAAAAAATCACCCCCCAAGGGGGATGGGCACACCTCAGTCTTTTCTCTTCCATTCTTTCCTTGGGGTTTTTAGCACACACCCACATGTTCCTTGTGTGAGTTTCAAGCTGCCAGGTCCAGGACTCAAACCATGGTCAACGACATGGGAGTCCAACACTGTTGGAGTCCAGCACCTTAAAGACTCCTTAAAGAGTCCACCACCACTACACCACCTGCTGACCCTCACTGGCTTTTTTTAATGATGTCAGCCACTGAAATACTATGGCAGCCAGGAGCGGTAGGCTGCAGGGTGGGAACAGTTTTTCCTGGAGGAACTAGAGGAAAAGCTGTATCCGGAACTTATGGTGTTGGACCACTTCCTCTGTGCTGGAGGTGTGACGGCCCATGCGGTGGGTAAGAGCACAGACCCTGGACCAGCACGCCGGCCCAGATCCTGGCCCCACCTTGGACCAGCACTGATGCCTTTGGCTAGGAACTTGTCCTCTCCGTGGAATGGGGGGATGAGGAAGTCGTCGTTGTCTGAGTTTATCAAGAACACCAGTTGCACTGTACTTGAGGAAGTGTGAGTGTTTACATTCCTTGAGAATTATAGCAAACCTCCTTCATAAGATATGAAGAATTCCTGGGGCATTTGTGAAAGGCAGATAAGGGAGCCTAACTTTCCAGTCTGGGGAAGTCATAGTTTGCAAAATTGCTCTTAATCTCTGAGTAAAGGGTGTCCGTAGTCTCCAGTTGCTTAAATGGCGCCCACAGATCTGGTCATTTCTCACAGCATCTCTCTCCCTTGGAGCTTTTTCCACTCCATCTCATCATCTCCTTCTAGCTCAATTAGTGCTTTTTTTCCCTTTATATTTCCTCACAATCCTCTTTTGCCTTACAAAGATGTTGGAGAATTGCTGAAATCCCTTTACGAGCCAGGTCACTTACTCTGACAGGTGGCCAGCCATAAGCTGCCTTCCTCTCCATCACTTAAGTAAATAAATACTGTGACCCAGGTCTTAAGTAGGGAGAAGCAGAAGCTGGGAGGATTTGGGATTTGTCAACTGCAGCTAAAACACCACGCCCCAGAATGATGTCCGTCTCCTATCCTCATCCAGCAGGTATGCAGCTTTCGCAAAGTTAACAAATATCATTTTGATATTGCAGTAGTTTTGAATGCCCTATTCCTACTTTCCAAAAAGTTTTAAGATACTTTTAAATTATTAAACCAAAGGGGATTAGGGTCTATCTGCTTTGTTTTGAAAATCTCGCTATGGGATGTTTGGTAACAAATACTGCTAGCCCTAGGGTAGAGATCTAAAGTGTGGTTTCACGAAGGTCCCAAGCCCTCTTCTAGAAGGTAGCTTTTTATTTACTTTTTACCTAACTAAATGTTTATTATGAAAAGGTACATGACCTGATTTTTATATCATAGTAAAATGGGCCCGTTGATGAGGGGACATGGGTTTTTCTGGTGAACAGCCATTAGTTATGCTCCTTCCAAGGCCTCTAACGTGATGATGCTATTCCCTCACAATTCCACCATTCCTATGCCCACCAGCTGCCATCTCCACACATTCATCCATCACAAGATCCGTAAGTGGATCAAATTCCTGCAATATTCCTTGGACGCATCTGCCACCGTTTAATTTCAGTGATAACTTTTTGTCCATAAATGTTCTGCAACTCAGGAGAGTGAGCTTTGCTCATAGTACCTTCTCGGTAGACTCGGAGATATCTTTAGAACTTCTTAACACAAAATTTTCTTTTTTCTTTTACCTCATGATTAAGTAGCAGATTTTCTCAGTGTTTCTTGGCTCTTCATCATGGTTATTCCAATTTAGAGCTGCTTTTCCCTTTTCCTTTTCTGAATGTTTCCTTTACTCTTCTTCCCCAATCCTGCTTTTCCATGGAAAAGAAAACCAGAGTGGCCCAGAGGAAGCCCCGCTGTTCCCCATGGCCCACAGATGTGAGCCTCTGCAGGTAACAAGGGGTTCAAAGAAGGTCAGTGGCACCACCATGGCCACACAGTATATAAAATGTATGAGGAGGCATCAAAAAGTTCATGAAAAAGAGAATTAAAGTATGAGTTTAATTTTATGCAAAGAATTTTAAAATCTGTTACAGTTTTTTCTTAATAGCTTTTCCCAAGAACAGTTGGAAAACCTCTCTTATAGCCCCATGTTGGCGTTTGGACCCTCAATTTTGGGCATGAACTGCCGTCCTGGTTTGACATTCAGAAATTATCAATGTTGGGGGGATCCATTTCTGTCAGACATATCATAGCAGATAACAAGCCAGCAACCTGTGAGGAGAAAAACAGATTTTAAAGAAACCTCAGACTCTGAGCTCATGTATCCTCATGAGGGTCTGCTTTTCTCTCCTTTAGCCATTCTTCCTGCAGTGATCCTGAGGAGGACTCAGTTCTCCCTTCTACAGGAGAGATGGGACACAGTCTCTGTCTTGACTGCCTCAGAACTTTGAGAGTTGTTGTTGTTGTTGTTTTTTTGTTTGTTTTTTAAGAGAGAATTGGTATTTACTTTTAGAGAGATTTTTACTGTAGGGTATGTGTGTTCACTGGAGAGACAGAGAGACAATAAGCGAGAAATCACCCCCAGGGGGTCATGGCCATGCCACAATCCCTTCTCCTCCATTCTTCTCACAGGGTTTTGAGCACACACACAGACACACACACACACGCACGCATAAATGCCCGACATCAGTTTCAAGCCACCGGGTCCAGGACTTGAACCACATTTGGCTACATGGGAGTCCAATGAGGTAACCATTACACCATCTGCTAGTCCCTAGAACTTTGAGGGCTTTTTGTCATGCATTTTATCAAATGCGTTTATGTCCTGTAGGGAAGATGGTGGGTGTTAAGAGCCCCCCACTCTGGAATCAGACATACTGGTGAGTCTTGGATTTGTGATTTTCTTTCTTTTGGCATCAGATTTCCACATCTATAAAATGGGGGTAATTCCCTCTCCTCAATGGATTGTCAGCCTTGATATGATAATATCAACAGGACCCAGGCAGAAGATTTTATTATTCTGTCTATCATAATTTCTTAAAATGAAAAGGGGGAGGGCAAAAAAGAAACATACCTTTCTGCTGTTGTTAGCCACCCTCCTCCATAAGAGAAAACTAATTCTTGAGCTGGACCAAGCCAGTGATGGAGCTGAAATCCTAAACCAGAGATTGAGCTCTTTAAAGTCCTGCTCTCTCTTGGAGAGAGAGATGTTTGCTACCTTGCAAAACATTTGCAATGGGTTCTTTTTGACTCCTCTTCATTTCCTTCCTGAGTTAGGGATGCCTTACAAAGACAAAAATCTTGAGGTAAAAAGGCTCTTTCATATCCGAGAGCATCTATGTCTGGGTAATGGTGAGAAAGAGAAATGTGTTTCCATTAGGAAGCTGAGCCACAGAGGTACTAAAAGCACAAGTAGACTAAACACGCACAAGCAGAGAGCCTCTTCCCATCAATCAGCTTTGATTTTTATGAAGCCACAGTCACCATGAGATGCATCAGAACACTCTCAGAGCCCACTTACCAAGGGAAGGGGCCTGTGATTTCATAGCCC